TTTTGAAAATGTTTGGATAGAATTGTAGACATTAACATAATAAATTAAATTATTTTATTAATTTGTACAATAAATAATTTGTTAGTGCCATGGTGTGGCGTGGTGGCTACCACCAATTACGTAAGATTGCTAAAAGCTACACGGCACCCGGGTTTTAAGCAACAAAACATGGCACACATACATAAAATACCACATGTTACAACCCAACCAATTCAAAAACCTACTAAAAAATATATACAAAAATAACCCCCTACCATACCACCCCACATCAAATGGACTTTTTTTTTCGACGACGCCGCGGGAACTGTTTTCGCATTGCTTCCTCAGTGCCGCCATTATTTGAACACCAAATGGCCTATATTATTATATATTATAACTTAAGTAAAAAATTTTTTTTTCAGATTTTTTTTGTTATTTTTATAATCTCAATGGTAGCCACTACTTACTCCAGAACTTTGAATAAACGTGACCTACAAGAAGTTGAAGATAACGAGGCACTTTACACCTCACACGGAAATTATGGAGGAGGTGGCGGTGGCGGTGGAGGTGGTCATGGACATGCCACATCATACCAAAGTTATGTGCTACATGCCTTCCACCCATCTAAATTCCACGTTAAAGACCATTGAACATTGAAATTATTCTTCACTGATTTTAAATGAATATAGTTTTTAGTTATCAAATTTGGTCATTATTCTTAGCTTACTCAATACAATAGTTGGGTTTGAAATATAATTTTAATTTTTGTATACAACACACCATCATTATAATAATAAAACATAAGCAATTGAGTAATGGATTGATATTATATTCTAATTAAGATATTATTACAAACAAATAAAAATACATGTTATTGAAATTGTTTAAGAAATTATATTAATTACTTTTAATACAATTAATAAATTAGAAAATGGAATAATTTTATGCAAACTTTTTTTTATTAAAAAAAAAAATAGTGTATCTGAATTTAATAAAACTGTAGGTTTATTGTTATATATAAAGATTTATTTGTAGAATTCATGTTCTGATTCATCCTTTTTGATATTGTTTTTGTATCCTTTTTCAAAATCTTTAGGTAACACAATGTAACGATTTTCGCGCACAGCATGCATTCCAGCCTACAAAATAAAATACATATTATTTAATATAGTTATAACCGATTTTAGTGTTAATAATTAAAATAATTTAACAATTCGTGATTTTTACATTTGTTAAACAGATTTAACTAAGTTAGTTATCTTATAATATTTTCTGTAACTTAGTAGGAGACCCTACCAGTCCTTTATATGGTTAAGTACATTGTGACCTACTGTAGCTAGTTTTGTCTAAAAATATTTGTGTAAGCAATTTCATGATTTTCCATGTGATTGTAAGTGCATTTATTGGTATTATTCAACCTGATAAATCTTTCAAGTAAACATATATAGCTATACATCAGTAAAATTGTTTATGAGTAGTGCTGATTGAGATCTAGTACAGATCAGTGATAAAAGCATTATTTTCTATCATCATCAAATGACATCAATATTTATCGATTGGGAGATATTATAAAAAGATTATTGTAATAATAATTTCATAAAATTTGTTTTGAAATAAAAATTTAAGTTCCAAAATAAATAAATTGGAATGAATTATGAGGACGATTCAGCCACATGTGCCACACGTTTTACTTTGTAATTTTTAATATTAGAATGAATAGAGTTATCATCAAACTTTAAGGTAAGAATACTATCTATGGCAGCTTGATAAGTTTTTTTCGATACATTGATTTTGAAGTATGTTACAAAAATTTTTAAATTGTAAATTATGGGTGAAACTTGACTTAATTAATTTTTTTTATACATAATGCGTTAAATATTTAAGATATGCTTAAATGTTAGTAAATGATAAACCAATATCAGAAGGTTCATAGCTCAATTATTTCCAACTCTGTTCTGCAAGAGAACCAACGATTCTACGCATCCCTCCACATCACCCTGCTATTAAAACCAGTTTCTATATAAAAGGGTGTCGTGTGAGGATGTGAAAAAAACAGATTTTGGTAGGCCCACGGCAGTTCTCTTACTGGACGGAGTATAGAAACTAGGTACAGAAACATGGAAAATACTCTCTGAAGAAAAATATAAACATTTTAATAGTGCATGGACACAAATTTAATAATAAGTTTTTCTGTTATAATTTAAATTTAGTTTGAAATAATTGTTTTTTTTTTTGAATAAATGGAAATTTCAATATTGCCATTATAATAGTAATTAATCAGTTATGCAACTACCAATACAATTCCTCAGTAGGCAACTATGGACTTAATGAGTTACAGGAAATCAGTTTGTTGTTGTACATTGCTTTTATTTTCTTTACACTTTTAAGTTTTACCGAGCAGGCTTATTTATATTTGGTCTTGTATTTTAGACAGAATTGTCTTAAAATAATATAACTATAAGGCAACGTAAATCTGGAATGGTCGAAATATAGAATTGAGTTCACCACAAAACACCATATTTAAGGTAGTCATAATAATCGTTAAGAACCTATAATTATTTCAAAACGCATAATAAATATATTACCTCTTGACAAATTGCGTTAATATCAGCTCCAGAAATCCTATCTGGTCTGGCCACATAATCTTCTAAATCAACTTCTTCACTGAGATTCATCTTGGCTGTTATAGTTGAAAATACTAAACGCTTTTGTCTACGATCAGGCAATGGAAACTCAATTTTTCGGTCCAAACGACCAGGACGCAATAAAGCTGGATCTAAAGTATCAGCTCGATTGGTAGCCATTATAACTTTAACATTAGTTGTTTGATCAAAACCATCCATCTGATTAAGAAGTTCAAGTAATATTCTCTGTACTTCACGATCAGCTCCAGTTTGAGCATCAAAACGTTTAGTAGCAATTGCATCAATTTCATCAATAAATATTATAGCAGGTGAATTTTCTTTAGCCAAACGGAAGACATCACGTACCATACGTGGACCTTCTCCTAAGTATTTTTGGACAAACTCTGAACCAACCACGCGAATAAAAGCAGCTAGAAAATAAAATAATACAATAAAAAGGGTTGTCAAAGTAAATAATTCTTATATGTTCACAGGCAAAATGTATTTTTTTGATTAAATAGAATTTTTAGTTACCTGTAGTATGGTGAGCCACAGCTTTAGCTAACATAGTCTTACCACACCCTGGTGGTCCATACATTAAAACACCACGTGGCGGATCAATACCAATTTGCTTATATAGTTCAAAATGTGTTAGTGGTAATTCTACAGCTTCTCGAATTTCTTGTTTTTGCATATCCATACCTCCAATATCAGCGTATTGAATATCAGGCTTTTCATCTACGATTATGTTTGTTGTCAAAATGGAAAAAATGTAATTATTATTAAGATAACTTACCAGCTTGCAGCATAGATATAGAAGAATCAGCTTCTGGAGGTAAAACATCAACCAAAGCATTACTATGCTTATGCAATGCAACACTAGCGGATGGTTTTAGCAATTCTCGATCGATTGTTGACAATATACGTACATAATAGTTTGATCCAGTAGTACTTCCAACAATACCAGTATTTTGGTCAACTGCTTCTAAAAATTGACCAATTACAAGCGGGACACTCTGAATACGTTTCACTTCTTCTTGTGCATGTAAGTATTCTTTTTTTAAATTACGTTGTTCATCTTTAATATATTCTTCTTGTACAGTCAAAAATTCCAAATATCTTTGTAAGCGCTAGATATTTCAATAAAATAATAAGTTAACAATAATTTTGAGATTCATATTGTATTTAAAAAATAATAATTACAATTTACCTTGTATCTAGAATAATGATCCAAACTGTCTAAACATGCCTCAACATTATTCAAATTAGGGAGAGTGGGTTTAGCATCTTGACTATCATCCTGTAAAAATGAATAAATTAACCTGACAATTTTAAATTATATAATACTAATAATAGTACTACTGAAATATATAATAAACTCAGATTTTTACTGAGTAAAGCAGTCTTTTTTTTTTGAGAAATATTTGAATAATAATAATAATAATAGTAATAATACATTTCAGTTTTTCATTTGCAAATATTTTTAACATAATCAACATAGGCCGGGGCATATTATAAGTTGGAAATTATATGTTTGTAGACTTAAAATTTACATAAAAAAAAAGGACAAAAACTATTTAAATGGATAACTTATGTATTAGTGAATTCTATAGAGAATTGGTTTATCACAAAATCTATTAAATGTCAAGATTTTATAACATAACCCAAGTACCAAATTCAACATAATATGCATTATGTAGAAACAATCATACATTTATGTTATATTTGAATAGTCATTTAAACAAAGTATATTAGGCTAGGTACAATATATTGTTAGGCAATTGAAAATAGTAAATAGTACACAACATAAAAATGATAATACAATTATTGTAAAAAGTATTTAAAAATATTATTATTAAACAAAGTGGGACAATTATGTATAAAATAAATGTATTGCTTTGCGTTCTACTAGAAATGAAGAAAAATTTAAAAAGAATCTAGTGGAATCATTGATCAAGTAAAGTAACAAATGTTATAAATATGAATTTTACAAAACTTATACGTACCCTTTCTGGCAAGACAATACCGATTTCTTCCATTGCAAATTTGTGGTATTTAAAATTTTAAAATTGTAAATTTGTGTGATCGACTATTACGAGGACGAGTATATTAAATATTAATTGTTATTATGATTCTTATATTTTGCTTTTCTTTTTAACGTTATCAAAATGATTAATCACAATTGTAGTGATAATTGAAACATAACCTCAAAAAGTCGTTGTCATTGTTCTATTATTGTTTGTTGTTGTACGAGATGCTGATATTGGGTCCTTTTTCTGAAATTGCATGGAGGAAAAAAACTAACGTTCGAGTTATGATACCGATAACGTGGTTATCGTTGATAGAAAGTCATAGTTAATTGTTACCGAAATGGCGAGGGAAATTCAAAGTATCCGCTACCGCTTGCGAAACAAATGCTCGCTTGTCCAGCAACACAACGCAAGCGCTGACTAACAACGTTGTCGTCTGTTACTTACTGTCATTTGTGAATACTGAATGGACTGCAGTTTTCGAGTTCCGTACGTGTCAATTTTACAATAATTTACAAGCATTCGAGCCGTAGTGTACATCTTAAAGTCTAGGTCATTACATATCATAATAAGTAAGTGTGCATAATATCATGATTTAAAATATTATTGTATGTATAGATCAGTGTTTCCCAACCTTTTTACCACCACGGACCACTTCCACAATATTTTATAGGTCGCGGACCACCTCAATTTTACACAAACTAGGAAGACCTTTTTTTTTTTTTTGCTCATTAACAAGAATACACAACATTTATTAAAATTTTTTTATTATTTTACTGTACTATTATATATAATTATTTAATTATTAAACTTTACTAATAATTTACTTAGTGTGATTTTTGTGGCTGCATTTCTTTGACCAGTTTTTCAATTCTCGGATGAATGGCTACACGCATGTCGTCACTTACGTCCAAGCGATTTCTCTGTTTATTTTTGATCACAAGTAGACTGGAAAATCCTTGTTCACACAAATACGTAGTTGAAAATACTACTAAATAACGTAAGGCAATTTCCCGTAGTTGAATATGTAATGTTGCCCTTCTGCACCAAAATTCCTCAAGGTTCATACCAGAATCAAACATATTTTTGCAGTCAGAGTCATTTTGCAGTTTTAATAGAAAACTAAGAAAGGTACCGCGGACCACCTATGACTGGCCCACGGACCACCGGTGGTCCGCGGACCACCGGTTGGGAAACACTGGTATAGATGAAAGATAATATTGTGATACTCGAAATATATAATTGATAGCGATGACAATAAATGAGTGTATTATTAGGTAAATTTGTGGATTGCGGAGGAACTTATTTAAGTATAAAAATAATATTGCGAACAGAGTGAGCGAATGAAATTCGTCATGGATGTTGAAATCATTTGATGTGTGTGTGAGTTTTGTCTACTCTACTCAATCAATTTCGACTGTTGAAAATCGAAAAGATTTATGGATTATATGATTAAAATATAATATAATTGTGTAGTTATATAGTTCTTATAGATTATACATGAATAGCACGAATCTTAATAACTTTGATGTAAATAATAAAAGACTTATTAGGAAACTCAATAGCTGGAAATTATTCGAATGAACTTACTACAATGTTACTTGACAATTGTAGAAAATTAAATATCATTAGTATGTTGAATATTGAAAACAATTCCTTTACCGACTATTTTGTTCAGGTTTCTGAGGAAAATATGTTTAGATTTAAAAAACTGATAAATTATACCTACCGAATTTTAAGAATCACTCAGAGCAGAATTCGGTTTAATATGATTTTAATTTTTACGTGACATTGAGATTTAGAGTAAGTTGTGCAATAAAGTGTCACTTCTTTAATGTACGGAATATATATATATTAATAGTAATACACTAATACCTAAGGCAGTATACTACCCAATAGGCAATAACAATAGTGAATGTCTAGGATATCGTGGTTTAGTTAAATGGTGTAGGAGACTAGGAACTATTGTATATACCTTCCTCCTGCTATGGATGTACCTATGGAAATCGTATATATTATAACTTATCAATAATATTTATATTATATATAAGTATATAACTGATATATTTCAGTATGTATAGTATATACTTTTATTATATATTTTTAGTCTATGGTTAAACATATTTTAATAACTTTTTTTAAGTATATTTATATTTATTGTATGTGCATCATTTTATAATACATATTTTAGTTTTTGTATTTATTGTTATATGAATCACATTATTTCCAGTTTACTTACATGACCTCTAAAAGTTAGTCTTATCAATATCTGGCCTTATTACACAAGCTATATTCAACTTAACTTAAAAGTCGAGTGTAATGCATTTTTGGTTCGTGTCTTTCCTGGCTTAACTTTATAGTAGGCATGGTTGCAGTTGAACTAAAAGGTTTTCGTCTGTATTGCTATATTATCTACCAGGGTATTGGTGCCTAGTTCGTACCCTGTAATCTGTATAATAATTATTAACAGAATAAAATATGCACATTTAATAGACATTTTTGGGGTAGTCAAACTTATGTCACTAGCATAGATGTCCGCATTACTCAGTATACGACTTACCTATGTGGTTATGCTAAAATAATATAATATATAGCCACTTGTAGTCATACCTTCATATTATAATGTTGTACTAGTTGTAGTATGTTTGGCAGTTATCTTAAACGACTATTTGTGTTATTTAAAAAAAAATGAAGAAAGTCATTGAAATTTTACGCTTGTATATATTTGGTGTATTATTTACCTCTTTTTGTGCAATGTTAAATGATAGGCAGTACTCAGAGCCCTACCTAGGAATTTTGGGATCAAAGGCCAATTTTTTGGTGAGGCACTTCAACCTAAATTATAAATTCAGTTTTTTTGCTTGATACATTGTTTTTGTATTTAATTTATTTTAAAGATTATAAATAATTTATACTATAAGTCTATACTTAATTATTATGTAGGTCATAGGGGCTTTACTTATGTCGATGTCCGAGGCTGCATTCCTCCTAGCTACTCCATAATAATTAGGGCTCTGGTAGTAGTGCAGTATGGTAGGTACATTAAATAGTAAATTATATAATATTATGATATAGGTAACTAGTGGTATAGCTAAATTTACATTTTATTGGATACCTACACCATTTAGCAGATTTGTTACTTAGTTGTCATTATATACCTAAATGTATAAGAGTTTAAAATCGCGTTCTAATAATAATAATAGTATGGCTTATTTTCATTATTAAAAAGTAAAAATTACTTTGTAACTACCTTAAAGTTATAAAAGTGAAAAAGTATAAAGATTAACACACTGTGAGGGATAAATATAATATGTTAATTTATAGGGCCTGTTCACATACAGTATACTATATAGGTGCTCGAAAGTCGAAAGATTATTTTAGTTGTAATTAAAAGTAAGTAAATGCATCTTGAAATTTTGTTTCATCAATGTGTAAACATTTCAATGATATTATATAGCATGTGATCATTGAATTGAAAAATTACTTATTATAGTTTGCCTATAATATAATATTAAAACTTTTTTAAAACTTTTTTCGTTAAAAATAATTTTAATCATTGTGTCTAAAGAGCCAAACTGCAATTACCTAATGTTTTTTATTGTTCCAATTTCCTGTTATAATTATAATTAGGTAACTGAATGAGCTAGGTGATACTGAAAAAAGGTTTTCATGCCTAATTAAATATACTTTACATATAGCCTATCTACGAGATACGAATAGGTAAACTATAAAAAATGTTTAAAATATGAACTGCTATTATTGTATCAATGAAAGCATGCTTTAAAAAAAACAGTTCAGCTAAACAAATTACCTAGTTAATTGCTTATAAGTGCCTACTATAACATAAATCATCCATTTAACCATTTAGAACATAACTTTAATTTTCTATACCTATAATACTTTGTGAGTATTTTGTATACAATAATATGAGATATTTTATATACCAACAAATTTTATTGGATTTAAAATTTTCTATTTGGGTATAAAATATGTTTCAGAAAAATATTCAGCTTTTGATTATGAATTTATGAAATTAAAATTATAGATTTTCATTAAAACATCAATATTTATAAAAATATAATATAACTATATTTCATTGCAGTTCTATCAATATAGAGCACCAACAAGACAGAAAAAAAAAGCAATACGAAATATACTTATTACAAAATTACTCGTACCTACATTTGATTATGCGTACTTCTTTAATAAGACAATACATTTGGAAGAAAATTAGGTAATTGTCTTGAAATATTGCATTTTTGTGTTTTTAAGAATCATCTTGTATATTTTTAACTTCAAGTTCTTTTGTCTGATGGTTATTAAAATAAAAAGTTCACCTAAGTAATTTTTGTTCATCAAAACATATAAATTAGTTCAATGTAATTTAATAATATTTTAGTTTTTACTTTAAAATGCAAGAGTATTTTCTCGAGGCTCTAGTCACAGATAGGCAATGTGTGTAAGTCACATCCTCACATAGGTACGTATTATGGAGTATTGATACAAGAATAATTATATAATAAATCACGGAACCTAAATCCAATTAAGTTAATTCTGGTATTAAGTTTTTGAAATATTATTTCAAAATGGTAAATTTAGAACGGATTTAATTACATTTTACTTTATCTTCTAACGAACATCGATTATTATTTGTTTGATATAAACAATGAGTAAGGGGATATAGATTTTTAATTTAATCTCATTCATAAAATAAGTTACACTATAATATTATGCCGTTACGTCAAATTTATAAATAAACAATATTTCACATTTAGCCTTCATTAGAATGTTTCCTGAAATATACTTAAGCTGCAACTTTTACATAATATAACATAATAAAGTGTCTGAGCCTAACAAACTAACAACTGAATACAATTTGTACTAATGTATTAACTTACTAGTATGTTCCCTAGTGCAGGTGCAAGGTTTTGCTGGGTCCATTGCAATTCAAACTTGTGGGGCAATCATTCGTTCTTAAGCCTAATACTCCTCTATTCTAAGTTGATCATACATTTAAATGTATTGAAACATATTATAATTTTGTATCGTATTAATCATTATTATTTTTATTTATAAAAATCAAATCAAAACAAACAATAAAGCTAATGTATAATTATTTGCATTGAATGTTAAATGTATACTATTACTAAAAAAATATAAGAAAATACAAGTACAGTTAGTTTGTTATAATATACAATATAAATTTGTAAATTAAATAAAATATTTTAAATGTCGCTTATATTTAAATCTTTCTAACTTTTTTTGGATGCGATATCATTCATTAAAATTAATTAACTTGTATAACTAAATTGTTAAAATTGTCCCGTTTTAATAAAAATCGTAGAGAGTCTTGTAAGTCTCTGTTGAGACCTTAAGAGCATTTTGCTTAAAAGTCTGGAAAAAAAAAGTGCAACTTAATAAAGTTTTAAGAATCCTTTTTTTATTTTTAGTATTAATTAAACGTGATATGAGTATCATTATTTTTTTTAAATTAACACATACATACAACATTCTTATTAAAATTTAATTTGTATTTTTAGTTTAAAAAGATGTATCGCAGTATTTTTAGATAATTTTTAAAGAATGATAGCTATTATTTCTACTTTATGTTGCAGTATACTTAGTGATTTAATTTATCCAATTAATCATCTAGGTATGTTAAAATTCAAGGCCACCTTATTTCGATTAAGGGCGTTCTTGAGCTCAATAAAAACTCTTTTTCGTGTGATAGGTTGAGCGGAAAACGGCAATATTTAGTACCTATTATGGCAGTATTGCGTTTCATAATTTGTGATATTATGAAAAACGTCAGTCTTGTATTTTCAAATAGACATTTTTTACAGTCACGTCTCCAAATACGGCAGTCTTGTATCACATAAAAAATTGGGAAATGCCATAAGTCTAACTTTTTGGGTTCAAGAGAGTATTTAATAATACTTAATGAAGTAAAAATAAGAAGTAGGTATATTTTATAAGTATTTTAATTTTTAATTTTAAATGTTTCTGTAAAAAACTCTTTTAAAGAGTTTTAAATTTCAAATCTCTGTTTCTCAAAACTATTGATATTGAGTCGTGACAGTCTTGTTTTAGATGTGCGATGAATTGTGATGACAGTTGATATGTAAAAACTAAGAGACGATAGTAGAAGAAACATATTTATACATTTAGTAGGTACCTATAATTGTTAATTTCTAAATATTCTAATAGTATCCCAAAAATTAAAAATGTAAAATAACTTTGTATTTTACTTTGAACCTATTTTGTATAAAATTTAAAACAATTATGTTGATTTCAGAAGTAAATATTATGGAACCATGGAAAAAAGTGTGCTTATATGTTTCAGTGTATGTGATGCTCCGAGAATTTCGTCCAATAGATCCTTTTATTATTAAGTATCTGACACTTCTTCCAGAAAAATACACCGTTAGAATAGTAAGTTCAGTATAACTGATGAACCAAGGTTAATATAGCTATTAATAATTTTAGCTGTAGATCATAGATATTTGCATGCATAGGAACAGTATACATTTAAATAAGATTGTATTTAAATATTGTATCTATTGTAAAGAAAGTGTTTCAGGACCAAATCACCTTAAAAAAGGATTAAAATTATAAGGCCTTAAAGATGAATATATGGGTAATGGGTTAGCAACTATAGCCAAATACATCCAGTATATATAGATAGAATATTAATGTTTCAACGTACTTAACTACCTTTAACTTTTAAGCATTATCCTAAGCTACCTATATTATAATTATATAGCCAATCATACTAAACTATAATTAGGGCTGAGATTTATGCAATGTGATAAAAAAGCCAAAATAATGCTTATTTATTTATTATTTATTATGGTGTTACAACTAATAATCAATTAAAAATATGTAATAACAAAATTTTTACTATATTAGATCTAGAATGTGTTATTTGTTAATATTATTATTTTTGAATATATAATATTGAATTGAATCAAATATTTTTTACATTAACATAAAATACAACTGTTTTTAATTACTTATCATTTTAAAGTACTACAATTAAAAACCATACAGTCTTAAGAATGAAACCAAGACTTACTTCTTAACACTGACTCACATCTACCTAGTAAATGAACGTTCCACATCAAAAGATGATCGGACTCAATCGCGTTTAATCTTATTACCACAAAGAATATTTCCTACGTATTGTATGGTATTTAGTTTCAAATTAATGTTTATGGCTGTTTTATTTTAATTTTTAATAATTCAGCTGTTGATCCTTAAGATTCAGTCATTTTTAAGCTCTTACTTAACAGAATCTTGGTATTTTCTATCTTTGGTATTTATTGATTCACTTAAAAATGTATACGACTGTCCTTTTTGACTTCGATTTTTTTTTCAAATAATAACCGAACGTCATCATTTAAGGTTGTTAAGATACATTTTTGAAATATCAACAAACGCTGTACCAATACTTTGTCCAGAAGAGAACGAGCCGATTATGCTCATCCCCCCTGCTATTTTAACCGAGAGTATAGTTACATTAAATCTACTCAACCACCAATTTTGATGGTATAAATTCACAAATTATTTTAGTCTTCTTTTTTAGCATTATAATTTATAAACGAAATTTACAAATATATGTATCATAATGATATATATAACTAAAACGGATAGTTTATAATTAGGTAGTGTAAAAATGATTAAATATGTAAAATAACGTATGTCTTATTTTATTGCATTTCACCTGAGACGATTTTATCATGTTTTAATATTATTATCCAAAGGGCTAGACCCTTAAATATAAATAAATAAATAAATAAATAAATTATGACATTTTAAATATTGGAATTACCTTCTTAAACTAAAAATGATTATTCACACGCATAGTTTTATTTTTATTTGTATATATAGAAGGTTATTCTTAATTCATATAGTAGTAGGCAAAGTCAATATTTAATAAATCATATAAGTTGTATTTTATACAAATCTATTTAACAATATCAAATAGGTAGTATTTAACTACATGAAATTGTTTTATTATTAAATTAATACATTTAAAGCATTATTAAAATTATAATTTTAATGCATATCATACTTTTTATAATATTTTATGTATCCTTATATTTTTATAAGTATTCTTATTTATTTTATCCTTATTAATTTGTATGGCAATGTAATACTGTTATTGTACAACCAACTCAATTACGTAATTTGCACTCCAATAGTAATTTCGGTAAAGCTTAATTGTTTGAAATCTTTTAAAAAAGCCTATACTGTTATAAGTTGTACATATAATTATACAAAGCCTTGAAGTAAATTTATAGTTCATCCACATTATTTTCACCTTACTCTTTTTTCAAATTTAATATAGATAAGAGAAGACGTTTATCCAGTGGGTAGTTATGTTAGCGTGTTATTTGTAGTAATCGTATTCCTAGTTACCGATTATCTACAATATAAGCCAATAATAATTTTAAATGGATTATCCGGTATAATGTCTTACAGTTTACTACTAGGATCTCCAACAATAAGTTTTTTGAAAGTACGTACCTACCTAACCATACCTAACTCTTTTAGATTTATTTTAAAATTCTATTTTTGCTTACACAACCAACTCATACATATTTACAATTTATAATTTTTATTTTTTAGTCTGGTCAAATATTTTTAATGCTGTTTAGAGCAGCTGAAGTTGCGTCTTATACATATATGTTTGCAAGTATCAGGAATAAAGATAAATATCAGATCGCTACTAGTATAGTGAGAACTTCAGTTTTGATTGGAAAATGTAGTTGTGGTATAATAGCTCAAATTCTTATATCATATAATATTTTAAGCTATGCATATTTACTCTATTTAAGTATATTTGGTGAGTAAAATGCTATATTACATAGTACCTACTTATTTTTTGTGTTGTTTTAAATATCAGTCATTTGTCATTTTGGACAAAAATAATTGTACAGTCCTGTACATTGTACTAGAACAACAAATTTTAAAAATAACTTTTTCTTAACACGTTTATAAGCGTTTGGGTATAAAAATGTAAATGTTACTGGAAATGTTGACACTTAGGAAATGATTATAATTTCTAATAACGGAAGGAAATGATATCATTGACAAGTACATGATATCATTTTCTAACGATATCAGGCAATGATGCCATATTGCCATACAGCATAGACCTGGTCAGTTTAAATACGTATTTCTGTATGTTTGGCAAGTATTTGTTGCTAAAAATACCTGATTGTTACCCATTCGGGAACTTGTAACACCGGCCGGTACTTACACTACGTACGCAACTAAGAGTAGACATCACGATACACCACTATATACTAAACAATTATAATGTCTTCAGAAATAATTATTTATGTTTAATCAATGTATACTATATATTTAGTTTAAAACGATTCAAAATAAAATTTTTTAAAACAATTATATTTATATCGTTGTAATTTTTTAAGTTTTTTAATATCTTATATGACAGAATACATTTTTAATTTTATATTCTGAAGTAGAATATTAATTTTCCGTTAAAATCAGTGAAGTGAAGTGGCACAAAGGTATCCTTAACAATACTGATAAGTTATAACTTTTAACTAATTAACTTCTTATTTAAAATTCAATTTTTATGTATTGAAATTATTCTCAGAATAATAATATGATTGGGAGTATGAAATTAAAAATACATGCTGTCATTCAAAAGAATAAAAACTTAAAAATATTAATAATAAAAAACATAATATTATTTTTATTCATTACTTGTTTTATAATTAATTTGAATTGTGTTTAAATAATATTTCCAATAACATTAATGCCTCGAGATTAATTTTTGATCATAAATATATTTAATGATGAAATTTAGATATATAAGATATAATAATATAATAGATACATTTTGTTGCATTTTCTACATATTGTCTACACTTAAACTTGTATTTGAATAATTTGTTTTAGGTATGATTTTAACTACGATCTGGTCATTAATTATGCCACCAGTTATGTTTAGTTTGTATTTTTATAAAGTAAAAGAACCCGTTCTAGATGTGATTGTAGATGATAATGAAAAAATTATCCTAACAAAAATCAATGAATCCACTAATATGAACCTAGATAAAAATAATATGAAAGTATGTAAAACATAATATTCTTTGTAATATTTATAATGTGGTTGACTATATAATTACAGAAATTCTTTATAAAAATGAAATGTTCTGAAGTTATTCAAAAGCTATGGGATGATTTCTATGTAACTTATGCGGATGCTAACGTATTTAAATGGTCAGTTTGGTGGTCGTTGTCACTTAGTGGTTATGTATTGGTAAATATTTTTCATTATATATAATAGCTGATATTAAATTTGTTATTTTGCAACAAATCATAGTCTTATAAGACTGATTTATGTTCTTTTAGGTTTCGCAATATATCCAGCTTTATTGGGAAGAAATTGAAGTGCACGGCAAACTAAACTCTTTGAACGGTGCAGTCGAATCATTGGCCACATTATTCAGTAAATTAATGCAATTTCTCTTATTTATCCACATTTACCTAATTATTTTAATTGTATTTTAATAATTATTTAGAATAGTTAGTAAGTAGGGTTCATTAATCAATACAACGTTTGATTTTATTATACTACATTTATACTATTAATGTTTCCTAAATGTTTTGAGGCGCTGCTGCTACGTATGGAATTGGAAGAGTAAACGGAGATTGGGATAAGTATGGAGACATTGTAATGGCAATAGTAGCCATGGGACTTGGAGTAGTGTTATATTTTCTTTCTTTTACTGAATCTCTAATAAAGTCGTATGCCTACTTTATAATATTCTGTTGTACATATCAGACTATGGTGACAATAGCAAGGTAAAATCAAAATGTACCTAAATTATTTATTTCAGAAAATTTTCCATTTATATAATTTGTATTTTTTTGAAAATTATTTTGCTGCCAAAACTACTAATTTTCATTAATTTATTTTGTTTATTTAATCGACTATTAACTCTGAATAGTATGTAATTGACAATTTTCTTATTATTATATAATATTATAACATGTAGATTATAATAAATAGACCATAGACAGTATATATTTTTGATAATGCAAGTTTATAATATTTTGTCGGCATGAATGTCAAATATTTTTTTAACTTTTAGCGCAGAAGTTGCCAAATTCTTGAAACGTAATTGTTATGCCTTAATATTTGGATTTAACAAGTTGATTGCTTATATTTTGATTATTATATTCACTGTGGTCGTCATTGAAGATAAATTTTTCTCTTTTGATATTCGTCAACAGGTAATAGATTTGTATTAATAATTCTATTGTACAACCTAGCATACTTAATTGATAAAAATAGTATACAATAGGTATATAATATTATACTATACAATTAGTCATAAAGTACAGTTATAACTTACAGCCATGCTGTTAAATGTATTTGCGTTAATTGTTTGGTAGGTAGTTAATTAAATGTAGGTTTAACGATTATTTAACAAATGACAGATTTTCAACACAAAGTAACTTAATAAATAACATGCTAAAAATATGAATCAAATTTCTTATTTATTATGTTAAATAACAACTTGAATATTTTGCATTGATATATTTTCAGTTTTTGATCTACAGTGTGTATTTTATGTTCTTGGGATGTTTGTTTTTCTTAATGGCATTCATCTCATCTAGGCGTCTATGAAAAAACCGAATATATGAAAGAACATTGAACTATTGTCGTAACACGTGTATTCTTTGTACAAATATATGGTAATATTTTATATTATATTATATTTTAAGTGTTTTATATTTTATACATATTAATACACTTATATGGATGTATATAAATTAATATATTTTATTTTTTATTAATTTAAACTTATTTACAAGAATCATTTAATATTACGTATAGTTTCTAAAGTTACTAAAATGATTTTAGATTCTGAGCGGATCGATGAATGTATTGATTTTACAATGATGTGCGTTTATTTATTTTTATTTTTGTCTGTCATCATGGTTTGAGGCAGTAAAAGTGCTTCGATTTTTTTCAACAGCAACTTTACTGGTAGGAAAAGTGAACTTAGTTTGAAGTGAAATTTTGAAATTCTCAATAGTTTTCAAGAGCGACAGGAAAAACGAGAATTGGTACGCAAAACTAGTTTTCTAAAAAAATCGATTTTAGTTTTTAGTGTAACTCTAAAAAAAATTACCATAGACACATGAAATTTTCACTGAATGTTTTGTGTTAGCATTTTCTATACACCATAATAACATTTTCAAAATATTTTAACTTGTTATAAGCTGTAGACGGACATTTTAAATTAAAATTTTTTTTTGCTTTTTTTCTATAAATGTCAAGAAAATTGTATTTATTGGATCAAAAAGCATGACAATTGTATTCAAGACTCTTATTATATTGTTACAATAGTAATTGAAAAATATTAAAAATACTTGAGCACTATTTTTTTTTATAAACATTTAAAGTTCAAATGTTGACAACATTTACCAAATTGAAAAATAAAAATGTATTAAAAATGTATGAAATTTTCAATATTTATAGCTAAGGATTGAAAATTTAAAACAAGGTTCCATTTAGCAGTTTTTTTGAAAGGAAGTCATAATAAATAGCAGTATGTTGCATTTTTTTTATACCAATCAGGGCTTATACCGCAGGAGTTTTTTGGTGACTAAAATATTGTTTATTTATATTATTTTCACACTGGTGTCAATTACATTATTACTATATTTGTATACAAGACATCCAGAAAAATAAGTGACTGTTATAAATAAGTCATAATTCTAAGCCACCAAGTAAGTTATTGTGTGTAAGTGGAAGGATCGACTGGATAAATATAATATATAATAGAATATCTAATTGTTGACTATTTACATTTGTCCGAAATGTCGTTTTAACTCTAGAACTACTTCCTGAGATATTTTTAAATCTACTACTACACAATGAACTGAAGCATTGTTTTGAGTTGCTCCGAATAGGCACCCTTCAATCTCAATATTACTCGACTCTATATAACGGGTCGGTCGGAGTTGACAAATTTATCATACTACGTGTTCTCTTGGTGATTCAAATACTTTATCTGTAGTATCCGGCTGAGGCAATCAGCATTACTGTTAAAGACTCAAGAGTCAAGGTCATAGGCAAACATACGGTATTTACTTTAAATTGTTCTTTGTATGCAACGATACATCATTGAATTCAAATTAAACATATAAATTATACTATACTATACTATACTATATTATACATCACTCTATATTCTGTGTGAAACTAAATATATCTATTCGTTTTTGTTTTGTCTATCTTATTTTGAAAATTTAAACTCTATCTTTTGAGTTTTTTTTATTATTATATATATTATTTTATTTTAATTTCCGTTGTTTCTTGTAGACATCGTGTAGTTAGCGGTTTGCAAGGGGTTCATGAGGAAACCAATGCTGGTTTTTTATAATTTGTTTTAAGACTCGCTGTTTAATTCTGAATTGTGTAACGTAATTGAATTTACGTGGTTTTTCGAATAATTAGGGTGTCAAGGTCTGTATTACTATTACACTTGACATCGAATTACATCTTAATATTGCACCACAAATAAATTTTAGACCCATAGTGGTTTTCATAGTAAAAATCTTATTGCTGTTATATGAATGGTACCAGAAAACTTTAGATAATGTATACATATTAATTATGGTGATAATATATCTATTACAGTTATCACTCATCAGCAATTTAGTAATCTAAATAAACAATCACGAGGATAAGTACCCATCTACTTAATAAGTGACTAAATTTACTATGTATTTTTGTGAAGGGATTGAAGTGGTGGTACATTTTTTACATTATAATAAAATGGTTTTATGAAGTAAGGACTAAGGATCATAAAAATGAAATACATATTATATAGGTATATATTATTCACTTTTTTTATTCTTTGGGGCGAAAACACCGCGAGTTCACAATGTTGTTAAGCTATATACTATTATGTTTTTTTTATTACATTATATTTGGCCAATATCAGACAAACGATGCTTTGAACTAAAATAATGTGTTTGGTATTCCCTGCATAAAGGTCATTTTTGTAATGGACATTTTATTTGAATATATTTAACACCAGAAAAAATCAGTTTTAAAAGATTCTCGGGAATCAAAACTATATAATAAATGTCTTGTATATTTCCCAATGACATGGGAACTTATTCGATGCATATATCTGACATATAACATAATTCATATTTTGTATTCAAAGCGGAGCGAAGAATGTATTGGTTGTACACTGATGTGTGGTTTTTATTTATTTGTTTATTTTATTTTTTGTATCTTAAAAAAGATTATGGTTTCTAGAAGAAAATAAGTTTCCAGTACATTTTAAAATTATTGAGAAAAACAAAAATTTTTTTTCCAAAATAGAGAAATATTTAGATAAAAATTATTTTGTTTCTTATTGTACCTAATTAAAAATTATTGTCATTAGAGACTTTACATGTTCACCAAATATTTAATTCGAATTTTCTGGACATGGTATAATTTTTAAAATTTATTTCTGAAACATATTTACGATTCGTAAGGTGTGACCATATTCATGATCCACATACGTCTTGTTTATTTGGTAAAACGTATTATCTCAAACATTATTTCATTAGATGATAGAAAATTCCAGATTTTAACGGTAAGAATTGAAATCGAAAATTTGAAAACAAGTTTTGCATCAACCAAGTTAAACCCGATAGCCGATATAAGTACCTCTTGGTTGTATTATGTTATGTTAGGTTAGTTTAGATTAGGTTATAAGTGGATGTATACATATTTCCTCTTGTAGTTATTCGATATTGATGACACTATGATTATGTTATAGCCTATAGATGACCATTGAGGGTATAAAATTTAGGTACGACTATATACAATTTGCCACTGGCTTCTTATATTTTATTTTATTTGTTGATAAGATTTTAAGGAATAACATTTAAAATAATATTTGAACTATTTTTGATCTTAAATGTTATCTACTTATCTATGTAACTATGTTACATACCTATAACATATATAACATCTCCGCCATGTTAACCATAAAACAAATATGAAAATATAACTATGGAATTTTCAACGTTTGACTGCTTAGTATACAAAAGTCAACAATTGATGGGGATATCACTGGCTTTAGCCCATGAACTGTTGTAAACATGTGTGATACACGTCGATAACGATGCACTCATCACTGTTGTTAGAAAAATGTTCTAAAAAGCTTGTTTAACGGGTGTTTTATTCTTACGCTATTACTGAGATGTTGTTAGCCGTAATAAGTACCTATATATACTTTAAAACTGTAAGGTTTCTGAAAATGTTTCGGTAATTTTCTCTACACAATAGTAATAATAATAATAAAGACTGTCGTGCATCGTATATTAACGTGAATAAATACTTCGTGCCTGATAATTTATTAAACGACGAGAACCGCACTTAGTGATATAGTTGTCTCACGGGATGAAACGCAAGTCAAATGTCGAAAGGCTTAAAAAAAAAAACAATTTATGATAATTTTTTTTTATATTTACTTATTTACCTACAAAAATAATATAGGTATCGCCGTGTGCAGCTTTTAGTGAACAAAATTTTTATTGTGTTTTATATAGGTTTACTAAGTATATTTTTTATGTGGCTACCAAGAGCCAACTACTACAGCTAACAGTGCTGATTAATCTTTAAATCAACCCACAAGCATCGTCACTTATATTTTTGCAGACTGCAGATACATATATTTTTTACATTATCTTTAGGTACTAATTAATATTATTGCAGACAAAAATATAATTAATGTTTGTAATTAAAACACGCATAGTTAAAGAAATAAAAAAATTAGGATACAATGTTAAAAATAATACAACATTTTATTTTTCAATTATTGCAACTACCTATAGGTATTTTTAAATCTGGATACAGGTGCATTGATTTTAAAATATGGATTCCGAATCGGTGATTGTAAACCAGATCGATATTAATAATTTATTCACACTAAATCGATTGTAGAATTTTTTCAATTAGGATTAAATTATCAGCAATTACAGAACCAACGCACTTGCCATTAATAATATAACAATGAATAAGTGACGTTCAAATGTTGTTTTTGTCCTTAACAAGTCACGAGGATGTCCAAATAATTTGTTTCATAAGTTAACGGCTGAATTGGGAAGATATTTATAGTTACCGACAAGTAAGTGAACTACAGATAGGTATTACATTTATATAGCACTCGGATGAAACACGGCCGGAAAAAAAGAACAACCGGTTTCTAGTGCACGTTTAAGAAATATTTGTTAACTATACGATAGGTGCAAGTGAATGAATCGAAAATTTAGTCAATATTAAGTATACATGAATTCAATAATAGTAGAACGATTTCAGTATGCTTATGAGTTATGACATTAATACATTATAGGTAGTGGATTATAGTGTTGTGGACCGGCGCTGACTCATGCACCCATCAATACACAATATTGATAGTTGTTATGCTGTTTTAGATTATGTTCACTAAATATGAATGGACGGCCGTCTCTCCAAGTGAAAGTTGGAAATTACGACCCTTTATGTGATTGAATGTTATTATAATATTATGATGATGACGATGAAATATTGTTATGTATCATTTTTTCTTTCAAGAAATACCTATGCAATCTAATTATATAGGTAATTAAAAATATTGAATATATATTTTACAAAAGTTCTGTAAAAATAATCTATATTTATGCATTTTTCAGTTCAGCAGTTGATGTGATCTATATTTTCTTTGATTCTGGATGTTTGAATTCCATAAATACCTACACGATAAAATGTTTACAAAAATAAGAGCGATTTAAAATGATTCTCTTATTCGTTTTATTTATTTATTATATTATGTTATGTTAGAAAAAACTCTAAATGATGATTTAACAATAATGTGTTGTGCATATTAATGCATATGATGTATTCACATTTTGTTGTTGATATGATTTATATTTTCTGTGATTCTGTATTTTTGAATGCTATAAATATTTATACTATAAAATGTGTATACAAATAAGAGCGATTAAAAATGATTCTTTTATTTATTTTTATATTTATTTTATTTATTTATTGTATTATGTTATGTTAAAACATGTCTAAATGATAATTTAACAATGTGATATGTTTGAATTTTGGTTAGGGTAGCTGTACATTTCGATATATATTATATACATGTGTACAAGATAAACATGTGTATCGTTCATTCAAATGAATTCTCCTACACCCGATCTTTGCTCTGAAATCGTCCCTGAAATAAATATAGTCAAATAGCAATGACTGTCTGTCAAAACCCGAAGTAGGTAATATATTGATAAGAAACAGCAGAATAATGGTCAGAAATTATACATAATATACAAGCGCGATAATATCTGAGGTGACATCACTATGATGACAACAATGCGGGAGTTTGAATTTTGAGTAAGTACATCGAATACACGGAGAGTTTGTGATAACACCGTTGGAGACATTTATATTATAATATGGACGCGTTGATGTAGATTGTAAGTATTGCATGACGTGTTTTCAAGGAGACAGCCCCAGGTGTTTGAAACATTAATTGGTCAAAGACTACTTAAATAATAATATATTACTTCGCGGGTTTATGACGATAGTGACAACGGAAAAGTTGAAACGTCCGAATGTCTTAAGAATTCACAAGTGTCGAAAGATGTATAAGTATGGGCAATGGGTATCATATTATATTCCGACTAGAATTGTAGGAAATTAGATAATTTTATTTATGTGGGTAAATATTTTACAAAATGAACGATACGTTTTAACAATTAAAATGAATGGTGAGACTGTGAGGGTATTTTATCGGTCATACTAAGGGTATAATAGAATTCCACTACTTCATTTGGTCAATTTGCACTCAGGACAGAAAAAGGTAATGTTCAAATTCCAGTATTGCACTCGTTTCGACGAATATATAAAACATATTTATCAACATATATGCGTCAATGGTTGTAAGTATAAATTGTGTTTTTAATATATTATTTAATATTAGTTGTTTTTATTATGATAATATTAAATACGTTCATTTTTAAAAATTAATATACAATAATATAAAAATGGGTTTTGTATTTGAAAATTAATAAATAGCTTTTAACTAGTGTAAACTGTTAATGTCACAATTGATTAATATACTTAAAAATATATCAAACATAAAATTCAAAATATTAATAAAACTACACATTGCTGTGTAGTTATAAATCAATAGCAACTACCTATTGATTTTTATTGGATATCGATTAAGTGATTGTATAATATTGACACTAATGAATAATGATATACCTATTTGACTTACAACCAAGAAACACAACGCATAGTTATCCTGCAAATTTACCAGTTGTATAATATACCTTTTTAGGACACAATTACTATGCAAAAGTACACACTAGTACCTATAGATTTTAAAATATTTTAAGATCATAATAAACTGTAATATATTAATATAATTTATAATATTTAAACTAGGTAAAATGGTCATGAAATAGAATTTGATTTGTTTAAGGTACGAGGATAAAATATTATTAGTACCTAATTTTGTGTCGGTATGACTTGGAGGAAATATGTATGTTATGTTGTATGATCACCGTGAATCATAATAATTATAATAATATTCACGTATGCAATAATATTATGGAATATTTTTTTAAAGTCTTAGACGTGCATGCGCATTATCCTCCCTTGGTGTAATAAGAATTGTGTCAGAGCAGCACGATGTAAACGTTATATTATTTATTTCAGTATAAGTTATTGAGTTTTTCGAAGGAAATATTTTATCATTACACCGCATGTTTAGCTATTTTATTGGTCGTACAGCAAAAAAAAAACTACGATTCCCAACACGGTACACTTTTTTGCATTCCAGATGGTCATTTACGTGTCAAGATCCTAACTATTTATTATATATAATTTGGTGTCGTGCAATATCAATAAAACAATTTCAACGATATGAAATGTCACTATCGCAGGGTACTCACTACAACGTTCGTTTTTCACCAGCGAATTTCGACTGATATAGTTATAAACTGTTTAGTTAATAACTTAAATTAAATTTTAGGTTATAATATTAAGATTTGATGATGAAATAACACTATTATCGGTATATATTAGAATTCCAAATATTGGATGGGGAATATAACATTTTGTGCAGTTTTAATAATAATGACGTCATTTAAAAAAGTAAAACGTTTTTATTTATATTTTTATGATGACCTACAAGCTGAACGTTGTTAATATCGTACAATCGGGTGGATCCGAGTTCACAGAAACAATATCATGATTTTTCAAAAATAACGCTATCACATTATTTCTTGTGAACATGAACATTTCCTCGTATCTTTGATATTATTTTGCAAATATGTATACATATAATATAAATATATAACTATTTGTTTACGAAAAAAGTTCTATATACTGTTAGACTTGTTAGAGTATAAAACATGCATGCATATATGTATTATAAAATGTGTCCTTATCCCGTACAATCTCATACGTGAATTTCATAAAGTAATTTAATTAAGTAGAAAAAAACTCTGAAAACTGGAGTTGTACCAAAACTAATTTTTGCGAGATATGAAGTTAAAAAAAATTGTTTTACCAACGCAATTTAGACCTTGTCATGTTGGTACAACGTGAGCACATGATGACATTACTATTATCAAGAAAACCTAAAAGAACAGACTTTTGTTATTTATTTAAGTATATTATTATAATAGAAGTTTCAAAAAACTAAATTGAAGACTACCTATATAGTTACCAAAAATATTCATAAATTGTGTCACCATTATTATTATAATAGATATTATGCTAATTTATTAAAACGAGCATATCCCAGTCTTATGCTCATATCGTTAGACTTTGTGAATCATCAGAAGTTATTTAGCAATTTGAACAAACTTGATTTTATATTTAACGACTTTTACAGTTATTACATTTTTAGCCATTTATTAGTTCAAAGTTTTAGCTTTAAAGTACATAATTCGCATTTAACTTCAAGTTTTAACAACAATAAGATATTTTTATTCTCTGTTCATTTATTAGAAAACAAGACATATTTTTTTTCATTGAGACTTGAGAAAGTTTAAAAACTGATATCAGTGCCTACAGTTTGTTATGTTTATTTAAAATAATAAAATATATGTTCATGCTAAATAATACTAAAATGTTCTATTTTAAAGCTTTAATAGGAAATATTATACAACTCTATATTCTAACGCACTAGGGAAGTAAGGGGATTATGCCACTACTAATAATGTATTTAATATGCTTTGGGAAGTTGGTTTTAAACCTTATTTTAGAGGAAAATATAGTATCATTTACCTAAAATTAAGCCTAGAACTTGTTAAATATTGAAATATCATAAAATAAAGACATAATTATCTAACTCAATTAGTTTATACAATTTTTATTTTTTTTATTTTAATACTTAAAAGGTATTATATAACAATGTAAAAATTTCCTCAAATTCAAATCGGTGCGCATTATTATGTCCACATATTTTATTTATAAAAATGTGATGATTTATTGATACCAAAATATAACCTTATATACAATGGTCCGTACATATGTGAGCTCAGTAGACCTTATAGTATTGTATATATATTGTATACAATAGGAGATAATTTAACAGCAAGCTTCTTTAAAAAAGGGCGAACATTTTTAACCAAGAGTTCGTAGATTGGTAGTCATTGTTCCATGCGGTGGCTCTGAAGTGAAAATAATTTTTTTTCCAAACAAAATGTAAAACATTAAGTTTAGAATTTAATTAACCCATTATATTGTGAACATGTTGATAATATTATAATACATATTCAAATTTTGAATAATATGGTAAAAAAAGTATTTTTGATTAATATGATAATTATTATTAATAATAAAAATTTCCATGACCCAAATAAAACGTTGCGATAGGTTCTTATCTGCCTTCTAATCTTTCTTAAAACTCCCAAATCGCACCCTTTATAATTAATTATCAATACACCTCCAATCCATTAAAAACATTTTTCACTTCTCGCTTCTTTTATACCATCGTTGTTTAACAAATTACATATATATATATATATATATAATTCTTCATTCACCATTTTCCTCATAATTCACTATTTCTTATTTTTATTTTTCCGTGTTTTTCATTCTTATTATCATTATGTCAATCATAGTATGCATGCTTGTCATAATTAAATAAATAGTGTGTTATCGTTCAGTTGTAGGTAATATAAGTAAATAGTAAGTACTAATATTCTGAATTATGAATTATTATCTAATAAAAGCTCTATAAAAAAATCTATATTTTTCGAATTTTATGTTCCCACTAAAATAAGCTTAAAATTAATAAGGTTTGCATAATATAATATTTAATTTATGCAATATTGATCGCTTTTTCTTCTGTAACTTTGTTCTGTTTGCATTCAACATTTATAGAATTCGTTGTTGCATTGTTTTATAAATCCAATAAGCATGTTGTTATTGTTTTGCTTAACAATTGATTTATAGTCATATATTTGTTTTGCATGACGACAGTCTGTATGGTAAGTTGTGCGATTTCGGTAGACAGTTTGTGTTTTTATTTTTATGTTTCAGTTAAGAGAAATCGTTTTCTTCGACGTCATTCGAAGATAGTATATTATTATTATCAGTATTTGAAAAATGAAAGGTTACAAGACAAAATGCTGCTTCAGTTGTTTTTTTATTATTATTTTTATTATTAAACTTTAACTTATCCTCCCTGTGTCACGAACCACGACATTACACGGTTCTGCTGAAATTCTACGAAGTAATCCCTCTTTACGGGTTTTTTGCA